CATCTAAGACAAATAACTCATCTCTTATGGGACTGATTTTTTTCCTAAAAATATAACACCTCATTTTATATTTCTTTTTGCCAGAGGGGTCTGTTGGCAATGCTCCCCTTCAATGATCTATGGAAAAGCAGAAAACTAAAGTTAGTCTTCAGAATGGCCTCCTGGAGAATTTCCTGTTCACTGTGGCTACGGTGATTCCAAGGAGTTATTTGTGATGTTCTTTCAGATGTCAGAATTAAGGGTGGGGCATAGGCAGATGTAAGTACAGTACTGCTCATTTTCCCTCAAAGTCTAGAGGGTAGGCCTGGAAGCCGACCAAACAAATACAATTTTTTTTACAAGTAGACAGGATAGTTTGGACTAGAAAAATGTAAAAACACACCTTTGATTTAGAGTATTCTTCCTCACTGAAAATCACCGACGTGAAAAAAAAAAAAAGAAAAAATAGAGTACTCTTCCTTTGAAGATGTAATTAACACTTCCTTTGTCTTTACTTATCCAAGGTGGGTTGAGGAAAGAAGTGTCATTCATCACGCTCAAGTAAACCATTCAGGTCTCTGTCACATCAGCTTAACTGAGTGTAACAACAAAGATTTACTGAGCTCTTACTTCCCCCAAGTATTGGAGATTGTGAGATCAATAACACATTCTAAATGATGGAATTTAGCCTTCCAGTCTCTTGGACCAAAGCCTACAGGTATTTATAATCTTTATTTTTTAGGTTTAACTTCTTTGTTGTGGCTACTGTCTTGAGCACTGTATGATGTTTAGCAACATCCCTTTTTCTTCTACCTATGGGATACCAGTAGCACCCCTACCCTAGTTGTGACAACCACAAGTTTCCAGACATTGCCAAAAGTCCCTTTGGGGGTACCCATCTCCCACCCCACCCCCCAACTTGGGAAGCACTGGTCTAGGTATTTATGCCATTAATTAGGGCCTACCAGAAGAGGCACCAGGATGGCCCTTTGACCATAATCTTAAACTTGAAAGGGCTGAACATTTTCCTGCAAGAATCTATGCAGAAGAGTAGATGGGACCTTTTCCTAAATGTTCATTTCAGCCTTAGACATATCACTTGTATCTTTCTCTAGGAGTTATATGTTCTCCAGCTATTGCTAGGTTTACAGTTCTCAAATGGCAAGCCATTGCATCAAGAAGGAATATTAGTTTCTTATAGACATCTTAGGAGAAAAGCAACTTTAAATGATCACCTGCATTATCCCTGTATTTAAAGTAAAATCTTTGGTCATCCATATTATGCCTATAGTTTAATTTTACAAACTCAAATATTCTAACTTCATAGCCTGGATAGTAACCTTTTAAATCTATTTCAGCAAACTTTTATATTATGATCTGCTTTGTAATAAGTTGTCCTTATTATTTTCCTTTTTCCCATTAGTTTTATCTCTGGCTCACAATATTAATATTCCCCAACTGATTGATAGTTAATATACCAGTGACGATATTTTTTGACAGCTCTGGGTATTTTTTGTTTAACTTTTGATACCAGAATTATTTTAAAATTTCCAATGTTAACTACTGTTTAATTACACCACTATTGTTTGAAATTTCGGTCTTGCTCAAAAAAAAGACTTAGCCAAAAAGTATTGTACACTGATAAAGGAATTTGAATTTATAGTTGTATATGATTTTATTCTATATTAGTAATGATTTGGACATTGTTAACTAGTTTTCATTCTTTATGCCATATTTAGAAAATAACAGTAATTAAAATCCATTGACTCCACCAGGGCAGGAGGAATGAGGAGCCTCGAAAGTCTGCAAGCTGCTCAGGCCACCTGAGGCTGTCTGAAAGGCCTAACATTGAGAGCAGTAGGGAGGCTAGGGAAAAGATTAATTTCTTACTACAGAAAACCATTCCTTACACAAACTTCTATATAAATTTAACATCAGCCTCATCAAATTTTGTGTACTTTATAGGAAATACAGAAACTATTTTTAATATATAACTCATTATTATTCAAGATCCAGTTCAAGAGATAACCTGAACTTCCCAAGGCAAAATTAAATGCCCCTAATTCTACCTAGATACAGATGTCCCACTATTTAGCCATTATTTAATTCTCACCTTAATCAGTGTTCTACCCATTGATTTCACATACTTTTTTTTTTTTTTTTGAGACAGGGTCTCTGTTGCCCAGACTAGAGTGCAGTGGCGTCATCACAGCTCACTGTAACCTTCAACTTCTAGGCTCAAGTGATCCTCTTACCTCAGCCTCCTGTAACTGGGACTGCAGGCATGTGCCGCCATGCCCAGCTAATCTTTTTTTGTAGATGTGGGGGTCTCGCTGTGTTGCTCAGGGTGATCTCAAACCCCTGGGCTGGAGTGATCCTCCCGCCTCAAAATCCCAAAGTGCAAGGATTACAGATGTGAACCACTGCACCCTGCCTCACACACTGTGTTGTAAACTCCAGGTGTTTACTCATCTTTGCAAACCTAATGAGGTTTGCCTATAACAGGCCTTCAGTGAACACTTCTTGAACAAAAGTTGTTACTTCATTCTAAAAAGTGTTCAGGGTCTCCATATTTGAAATGTGTCTCAGTTCCTATCCCTTAAATGAGATTTATTAAAAGATTAAAGGACAAAATGTATACACTCTATAAATCTGACTAGATTTACTATAGTAAAGAAGATTTGTTTTCCTTTTTTAGTGACATTGCTCTGCAAAATTAAGAATAGTTTCTCAGTTGCATATCAGTAAGACAAAAGCACTGTTGTAACAAAATTCAAATGTTTAATTTTTTAAAACTTTACTAATGAAAATAAATTATATTTAGACCACCTTCAATATTTTTACATCATCTTTATACAACTGTAACAGTGCTTTCAAAAGACATTTTGTGAAAGACATTAATTTCACAATCAAAATGTGTTTAAAAATAGGGGAACATTAAAGAACATTAAATTAGTCTGAAATATATCTCATAATGCTGAGGTATATTGTTCTTTATCAAATTAACAGTATTTGTATTCAAAATTACATGGTTTTAAACTGAAGACAATTATTTCTTGTCCATTTCAGTGATTTCTTGGATCCAAAACAAAATCTGTGTATTTATTTCTTTGAAAACATCATTTGTTGACCGTCCTTTCACTGCCATGGAATGATTTGCCTTTTCAATCCAGTGGATTTTATTGGGAGCTTGCATTTTCTGTGCCACTTTCTCCAACAAATTCTAAAGGATAAAAAGAAGAGGATACTAGACTAATGTTCTATTGGTGTTTAATATAAGATTCTCTCTCCCCCACTTATTTTGGCATCCACTCACCAAGTATTCATTAAATACTTATTCTACAGACAATATTCTAGGCAACAAAATGTGGAAGGAAACATATACAGAAGTGGCAGACCACTTCTCTCGGATATAGCAATACCACATAACAGATCAAGCATTCATTAGTGACAATAAAAAATTTTCCAAAAAAAATCTTTTCCCCAAGGAAATTATATAGGAAATACAAAGTTGTTTCATAATATCGGGCTAGTATTTAGTAATGTGTAGACATTGCCAACCCCTTCTCAAGAGTTAATTTTATAACAAATAATCTGACCGTTGAAATGGTGAAACAAATGTACAGTCTAGTAATCCCCCAAATCAGAAGATTCAGATATTAATCCTTCATTTTCCAAATAAAGGTTACATTTACAACTCTTTCCAGGAAGATGAACTTTGTCAGTACGCTTGTATTTTTTAGGTTCTCCAAAGCAACAGGGTAACCAATGCATAAAACTAGCATCGGTCAAACTCACATCTTTTGTAAAAGAGACTGAATGTTGCGGTAATATATTGTTCCCAAGATACTTGTTTTTCATACTTTCTCTCATTCACACAGACATTGAGTTGTAATTCACCTTTTCACACATTTCATCTGCGGAGCCTGACACAAACAGTACAGGATCTTTTATACGAAAGAGATCTTCATCTCTGAGTTTATGCTGCTGCTTTGGATGGTGCAGTGGATAAGAAATACAAATGAGACCGCGAACAAAATCATCAGCAACATCTGGCTCAATATGACACATAACAGAAGCAGCTGCTCTTGAGCCCATTGAACGACCTAAAATCAATTAAAATTAAATTCAGTTTGAAATATAAACCTTCGCATAAAGTAGCAGTGATGGTGTGGCAAATTAGATTTCATTTACTGTTCACCCATGAACTCTAAAAGGTAGCAATTAACAAGCTGCAGTACCCATGATGGACACCTATTGCTTTGTGAAGAGCTAAAAACTGATTGATCTTAAGTCAAATTTTAAAAAAAATAGCAATTATTTTTCTGAAGAATACTTAAAAGGGTGAGGATAATCCTTGTCAAATCATCATTGTCAATCCTTGCAAATCATCATTTGCAAAAGGGTGATTCGGGGATATAAATAAATAAAAGGAGAGCTTCTCAGATCACAATATATATATGAGGTTCAAATTTGCTTTAAATATATATAAAGTACTTTAACATCAAGGAGGTGACTTACCAAAACAAAAAAATAATCCTTAAATTAGCTTTAGCTTTTTGTTATCAATTTTAATTACCAGTTATCTATTCCTGTATTAAAATGGATAGTTAATAAGCATTGCAACTTACCTCCAAGGAAAACACCTGCAAGTTTATATTCTCCTGAGGTCTTTAGGTAATTCTAGAAAAATCAACCAAAAAAATGATCAATTCTTCTCCTATAAAATATTCCACTGGAAAGCCAAGATATATTATTTCTCATCACTACTGAAATCTGTGAAAATCTATGCAAAGATAATCACAAAATCTTAAGGGATTCTTCTTGAAACAGGTGAGCAGTTCTTTCCTTGTCTGGTCATG